CATACCTACATTCATTGACCACTTACAATAGGGCAGCCTTAACTTAGGGATAAATGTGTGTTCTGCTATTCACTTGCATTCTCTTCCTGTCACAGTAGAAATGTCAGCCTAAAGTTAGGCCACCAATGAGGCTGACCTGTGTCCTACCTTCATTCATTGACCACTTACAATACGGCAGCCTTACCTCTTAGGGATAAATATGGACCTGCTATTCACTTGTATTCTATTCCTGTCACAGTAGAAATGTCAGTCCAAAGTTAGGCCACCAATAAGGCTGGCTTGTGTCCTACCTTCATTCGGTGACCACTTACAATAGGGCAGCCATACCTCTTAGGGATACATATAGACCTGCTATTCACTAGTATTACAATATATAAATAGGGTGTAGCGCTTCAAACAAAACTAATAGTAAAACAGATAAGAGAAGTCCTCCAAAAGAGTCCTCGAAGAGTGTCTACAAATATATAGCCAAAAACACCTTAAAGATGCTCAAAGGTCATGCTGTGATTAGGGTTGCCACCTCATCTCTTTAAAACCTAACACATTACACAGGTTCTGCGGCTAATTTAATGTAGATAAGGCTCTAAGTGAGTTTAATTACCACCTTAATCAGCCACAGAACCTGTGTAATTAATGTGTTTGGTTTAAAGGGATAAGTTGCAACCCTAGATGTGATGTCAAGACAGCTCTGTCACGGACTGCATGTCACCCCGATTGGGTGATTCCGTCAGAACACTGGTTCCTTGCTGCTGAGAAGAAACAGGACCAAAGTATAATAACTGGGCCTCACGCCCAAGAACTAGACAGCACTAGCTCAGGTGCAACTGGAACTCCTTTTTTGAACAGGAACACAGATTTTTATATACTTCACAAATAGAGGCAGTCCCCACATGAACAATAAAACAAATATTACACTTTGGGGTAAACATACCACACTGATTAGGTAAGAGCTTGATCACATTATCCTAAACAATGCAAAGGTAAACAGTACAGCCAACAGCTAACAGTGATCTAATTAACAGAAAGCTAATCAACAGCCAGGCACCCAGACAATGCTTTGTTTAATCAGGGAGCCCACCCAGACAGTCCCACATAGGAATACATGGAACGGAAACCAATGTGACCAGCTCTTTCAATGAACATGTATAGTTCCAAATAAAACAAACCAGGAATAGTTTTCAGGGCAGATACAAGAAAACAGTCCTTCAAAAATGTCACAGGAAAGGAAATATAACAATAATAAGTAACAGGGTGAATGTGGGAAGAAGAGGTCCTTGCAGCCAATGTCTGTGACATGCTCCTTCCACCATCAGTAAGCACATAAAGCCTGTTACCACCTGATGTTGACCACCAAATAATTAAGCGGTCAAAAAAACACTTGTGTTGTATATCCACGCATCAAACCACCATGATCCACATAATCTTGTACTTGCTGAATACTGTGGGCACCCTCTCAGGTTAAAAGACTACTCCACTCCACCAAGATGGTTGATAAACATTCATATTTATTTAAAACTCTATGCACTCACATAAATCAGGATAAAATCAACATATCACAAAGTTTCAAACCTACGAGATGGGTGCGGTTTCCAGCATGATGAAGTCACACGCCGTAGCTCCTCCCTACGCAATTCGTCATCAGTTGATGTAGTCAGTTATCGATTGTTTTATTCACTTGTATTCTCTCCTTGTCACAGTAGAATCGTCAGCCCAAAGTTAGGACAGCAATGAGGCTGACCTGTCTCCTACCTTTAATTCAGCGACCACTTACGATATGGCCGACTTACCTCTTAAGGATAAATGTATGTCCTCCTTTTCACTTGTATTCTCTTCTTGTCACAGTAGAAATGTCAGCCCAAAGTTACGCCAGCAATGAGGCTGACCTGTCTCCTACCTTCAATTCAGCGACCACTTAGCAGTCATGTATACGGGGGTTTGGAAAACTCTTCTGAAAGATGGAAACTGACTGCTGGAAAACGTAGGTTGAAAAACGTCAGTTTAGCTGTGTTTGCATACCGAGTTTATGCACGTTTGCGTTTTAGAAGCGTTTTTAAAAGATAACCTCAGGAGACCTTCCCAAATGCCCAGAATGCACTGACAAACAGTAAATAATTAACTATTTCAGACATTTTGAGAGAAATAGAGAGAGCAGAAGCAGAGAGATCAGTATGTGTTGAGATGACCTGTCTTTTCTGGTTGTATTCACTATGGATCCCATCATGAACATAATGCAGCGCGTTCTACTATTTTTTCCTTCACGTTAAACCTGTAACTGACTGCGCTGGTGTACCGGGTCCATTTGAATACATGGAAAACGCTTTGCATGCATTTCTGATGATGAAAAAAGGCTCTGGACAGCATCTGGACATGGAACAGTAAAAAAAAAACGCTTTTAAAAGCAAACGCATATAAACGCGGTTAACCGCGTTTACAAGCGTTTGAAACGCCAGTAAAATCTACTCCTGAACGCAAGTTTGGTGCGTTCAAAAAAAAACGACTGTAAACTCAACTGTCTGTAAATGACTATCTGTACATGGACACATAGGAAAACATTAGGGAGAGTTCAGGGGCTGCTGAGAAAACCGCTGCACAGCTCCTGAACGTCAGTTTAGCAGCTGCAGTGTACATGAGCCCTTACAATATGGCTGCCTTACCTCTTAGGGATAAATGTAAGTCCTCTTATTCACTTGTATTCTCTTCCTGTCACAGTAGAAATGTCAACCCAAAGTTAGGCCAGCAATGAGGCTGACCTGTCTCCTACCTTTAATTCAGCGACCACTTACAACATGACAGCCTTACCTCTTAGAATTAAATGTATGTCCTCTTATTCACTTGTATTCTCTTCCTGTCACAGTAGGAATGCCAGCACAAAGTTAGGCCCCCCAATGAGGTTGGCTTGTCTCCTACCTTCACTAGGGTCTGATAAATGACATTCTGTTTCGGCTGCTGGAAAATGGCAAAACTGATAAATAACAAAGCCTTTAACTTTCTTCCACATAATCTTGACTTTTGTTATAGAAATTTTCTGCCTGTCTGTTATCTGCACTGAACTCAAGCAGGAAACAGAACGGCCTCTGCTCTCTCCTCCTATCAGCCTGCTTCTTGTTAGGACATGAGCACTACATCACATTTGATTGGCTCCAAGCACTGCTTCTCCCTCTCCCAATCATAGCCTTCCTGGCGGTATTCCCGAGTGTAGCTCGGGGTAAAGTTTCAGTACCACAAGCGGTAACCCCGAGCTACACTCGGGAATACCATGCGGCGCTGCTCCGGGATCCCTCGATCACTTACCTTGTCCTGCGCTCCCGCGATGTCCATCCTGCAGTGTCCCCGGCAATGTCCTCCGGCGGATGCCGGCATCTGTCATCTGGGTTCCATCCTCTACAAGCGTCGGGACGTACGGGGGACAGAACGGGCGGGAAATTTGAAAATGAGAAAAAGTGACATTCACTAAAATCACTAAAATCACATAGTATAACATTACCTGTATCAAACCATTTCACATACATTTTGTCCCGAGTGCTTTGTCCTGTGCCCTGCCTGCATTTTTACTGTTCTTTCTGCCTGGAAACTGAGAAATGTCCATGGCGTCCAAAAAGCGTCCCTTTAGGTCAAAAGCGGTTTTAGACCGGCTAGAGAACAGCGATAGTAAATCAGAACCACTTGCAGAATTGAGTGATAATGATTCGTGGGGGAAATTCGTCATCAGACACTGAAAACGATTTTGCGACTTTGCTCAGTGATGTGCGAACTTGGCGCTATATTTCAAATTTCAGTGTTTTTGGTTTGATTATATTATTGAATTAAATTTATTATTATTATTATTATATTATTATTTTTTATGATTATTTATTACATTATAATTTATGATTTCGTGTTTCAAATTTTATCATACCCGGGATGTTTACTAGACTCTTGTTCGGACAGATTTCAGTGAGTTATTCCTAAGAATTACAGGCCTACAATATATAAAACGCCAAATTTCCATGTAAAATAATGGTACCGCTTTCAGCACCAAAAATCTGAAATAATTCATACCGCCAGGGAGGGTTTAAACTCTACTGTACATGAGATTGCAAGAGACTAAAATGAGGTCAAATGTAAAAATTGACACTGCCTAAACTGATACATTTGAATTATGTATACATTAATAAAAATATCTGTCTTTTAAATTTGCCCGGAGTTCAGCTTTAAGATCCAGTAATGGTAACGATGACAAATTAATTTTCGTTTATTAATAGCTCACAAGACAAGGTAAAAATAACCCCCCGGCAAGAGAGGAAGCAGAATCCTTTCATTGTGTTAGTGGAAATGTTGTATTTCATAATGAAATGATAGTCACAGGCCCTGCAATGGGTTGTGATCTAATACAATGATCCCTAATGAGAAAATTGCTTCTTGTATAGTCGCTACTACACAATAGGGTCTGAGGACTGTGCAATGTCTATGTGTTTTTGACAAAGTAAAGTGTATATACAGGCCAAAACATTTTTTTTTTTTGTGGTTAGAGTGGGATACAGTAAGATCTTCAGTAGATTTTTTAAAACTTTTTTTTACACTACTGCTATGCGACTTTAATGCTATTTACAGTGCGATTATGTAGTGCAACTTTGATATGACTTTGCATATTCAAGGGGGCCAAGTTGTCGTGTAAATCGCACCAAAGTACTGCAGGAACCTTTTCCAAAATTGCACTGCTCTGAGTCGCATTGATCAAAACAGGCACTGTCAAAAACGATGAGGTTTCCCTTGTCATGTGCGACCCAAGTCGCATCAGACGTCACACTAGTATGAACCAGACCCTAGTGTTTTGCTTTATGAAGTTTTTTGACATTGTATTTGGTATATGAAATGTGGCCAATTAATATCTAAAGCTGAAACCCCTGAATGTTTTTTATGCATAGTCGCATTGGTTGAAATAGTTAAAATCACTTTAAATGCCCAAGTAAGTCTGCACTTCTAGTTCCATCACTGCTATAGGCCAACTGACATTTACTAAACCCAGGACCCTGCATTCACTATATCTGGTCTCCCAGGACCCTGCATTCACTATATTCGGTCTCCCCGGACCCTGCATTCACTATATTCGGTCTCCCCGGACCCTGCATTCACTATATTCGGTCTCCCCGGACCCTGCATTCACTATATCTGGTCTCCCAGGATCCTGCATTCATATCTTCGGTCTCCCCGGACCCTGCATTCACTATATCTGGTCTCCCAGGCCCTGCATTCACTATATCTGGTCTCCCGGACCCCGCATTCACTATATCTGGTCTCCCAGGACCCCGCATTCACTATATCTGGTCTCCCCGGACCCTGCATTCACTATATTCGGTCTCCCCGGACCCTGCATTCACTACTATCTGGTCTCCCAGGACCCCGCATTCACTATATTGGCTCTCCCCTAGCATTCACTATATCTGGTCTCCCAGGACCCAGCATTCACTATATCTGGTCTCCCCGGAGCTTGCACCACTATATCTGGTCTCCAGGACCCTGCATTCACTATATCTGGTCTCCCAGGACCCCACATTCACTATATCTGGTCTTCCAGGACCCTGCATTCACTATATCTGGTCTCCCCGGACCCTGCATTCACTATATTCGGTTTCCCCGGACCCTGCATTCACTATATCTGGTCTCCCAGGACCCTGCATTCACTATATCTGGTCTCCCCGGACCCTGCATTCACTATATTCGGTCTCCCCGGACCCTGCATTCACTACTTCTGGTCTCCCAGGACCCCGCATTCACTATATTCGCTCTCCCAGGACCTAGCATTCACTATATCTGGTCTCCCCAGGACCCAGCATTCACTATATCTGGTCTCCCCGGAGCCTGCACTCACTAGGATCTGGTCTCCAGGATCCTGCATTCACTATATCTGGTCTCCCAGGACTCCACATTCACTATATCTGGTCTTCCAGGACCCTGCATTCACTATATCTGGTCTCCCCGGACCCTGCATTCACTATATTCGGTTTCCCCGGACCCTGCATTCACTATATCTGGTCTCCCAGGCCCTGCATTCACTATATCTGGTCTCCCCGGACCCCGCATTCACTATATCTGGTCTCCCAGGACCCTGCATTCACTATATCTGGTCTCCCAGGACCCTGCATTCACTATATTCGGTCTCCCCGGACCCTGCATTCACTACATCTGGTCTCCCCAGACCCTGCATTCACTATATTCGCTCTCCCAGGACCCAGCATTCACTATATCCGGTCTCCCAGGACCCAGCATTCACTATATCTGATCTCCCCGGAGCCTGCACTCACTATATCTGGTCTCCGGGACCCTGCATTCACTATATCTGGTCTCCCAGGACCCCGCATTCACTATATCTGATCTCCCCGGACCCTGCATTCACTATATCTAATCTCCCAGGACCCTGCATTCACTATATCTGATCTCCCATTACCCTGCATTCACTATATCTGGTCTCCCAGGACCCTGCATTCACTATACCTGGTCTCCCCGGACACTGCGCTCACTATATCTGGTCTCCCCGGATCCTGCATTCACTATATCTGGTCTCCAGGACCCTGCATTCACTATATCTGGTCTCCCAGGACCCTGCATTCACTATATCTGATCTCCCCGGACCCTGCATTCACTATATCTGGTCTCCCCGGATCCTGCATTCACTATATCTGATCTCCCCGGACCCTGCATTCACTATATCTGGTCTCCCCGGACCCTACACTCACTATATCTGGTCTCCCAGGACCCTGCATTCACTATACTCGGTCTCCCCGGACCCTGCATTCACTATATCTGGTCTCCCAGGACCCCGCATTCACTATATCTGGTCTCCCTGCATTCACTATATCTAGTCTCCCCTGCCCTGCATTCACTATATCTGATCTCCCAGGACCCTGCATTCACTATATCTGATCTCCCAGGACCCTGCATTCACTATATCTGGTCTTCCACAGTACAAAGAACATGGAAATGCAATTATTTTAGTAAATATAAAGTGCTAAATACCTTTTCTCATCAGCAGTATATAGCAGTTTTGTGACTTTTATCAGTGTCCAACAGTGCACTGATTAAAGCTTGTTGGAGGGGTTTTCATTCTCCCCTGATTGTCCTATGAGGCTGCATAACCCCTGTCCCTCTGTCTGGACAGCGCTGACTGGCCTCGTGCTGATCACATGCACTCTCCCAAGAAAAGGGTGTAGAAATACACACCAAACTGAGCATGTGCAGCTTGTCCTCAAGGCTCTGTTCTATCAGGAGATGGATTGGGGACAGTAGAAGAAGGGGAGGATCAGAGAAGACAGGATCAAACAGCCTTTTTACATCCTGCGGAGGATTAACCCCTTGGGTTCCACAGTGAGTATAACAAGCATGCTTTACTGTATATACAGACTGATTTTACTGTTGTGGTTTTAGTAACACTTTAAGGGATAGATAGGGAGGCTCTACAACCCAACTATACAATATTTAGTAAATTTAGGATGCATTGTAGATACATTCAATGTATCAAAGAAATAAACTGTAAGCTGTGTCTGTGGCCGTCTTACAACACCACTCTCCGGCTAGCCCTAGTACAGTACATACAAGCCATTACAGAATACAGAGGTGATGTCACAGCCCTGAGAAGACGGAAGGATGGCAGCTGCTACATGAATATATTTTCCCTGGAAAGACAGTGACCTCCTGAGATAAGATCATACATAGCACAGATTACACTCCAATTATGTAATATTGGAGGAATGAAAATTTAACAAGAATTCCATCCTCTACAAACATGCGTCTTCCTTCTGCCCCAAGGCGGAGTAGAGTCTTTTCAAAAGCGAAAGATGGTGTTATATTACATAAAACACACCTAAATGAAAGGTGAAACATTCTGCTAATATGGAATCCATGAAAGGTGAAACATTCTGCTACCACAATCAGATTTTAGTATTTTCACACCTTAGTGGACCAGAATGTGACTTTTATTGCTCAGTCCAAAATTCATTGAATGGTCAGTTCACCCAGAAGGACAACGGGCTGAACTGTCAGCCTATTTATCTGGGATTCTGGAGATTAGATCCCTCCACCCACATTCCCAAATCTCTGCACCAACATCCCCATCTCTGCACCCATGTTCCCAGATCTCTGCACCAGCATCCCCATCTCTGCACTCATGTTCCCATATCTCTGCACCAACATCCCATCTCTGCACCCATGTTCCCATATCTCTGCACCCACATCCCCATCTCTGCACCCATGTTCCCATATCTCTGCACCCACATCTCCATCTCTGCACCCATGTTCCCATATCTCTGCACCAACATCCCCATCTCTGCACCCATGTTCCCATATCTCTGCACCCACATCTCCATCTCTGCACCCATGTTCCCAGATCTCTGCACCAGCATCCCCATCTCTGCACTCATGTTCCCATATCTCTGCACCAACATCCCCATCTCTGCACTCATGTTCCCATATCTCTGCACCCACATCCCCATCTCTGCACCCATGTTCCCAGATCTCTACACCAACACCCATCTCTGCACCCATGTTCCCAGATCTCTACACCAACACCCATCTCTGCGCCCATGTTCCCAGATCTCTCTGCACCAACATCCCCATCTCTGCACCCATGTTCCCATATCTCTGCACCCACATCCCCATCTCTGCACCCATGTTCCCAGATCTCTACACCAACACCCATCTCTGCGCCCATGTTCCCAGATCTCTGCACCAACATCCTCATCTCTGCACCCATGTTCCCATATCTCTGCACCCACATCCCCATCTCTGCACCCATGTTCCTATCTCTGTACCGACGTTCCAGATCTTTGCGCCCACATTCCCATCTGTGCACCTATGATCCCGGATCTCTGCACTAAATTCTCATCTCTGCACCCATGTTCCCAAATCTTTGCACCCACATTTCCAGATCTCTGCACCCATGTCCCCAGATCTCTGCACCCACATTCCCAGATCTCTGCACCCATGTCCCCAGACCTCTGCATCCACATTCCCAGATCAGTGCACCAACATTCCCAGATCTCTGCACCCATGTCCCCAGACCTCTACACCCACATTCCCAGATCTCTGCGCCAACATTCCCATCTCTGCACCCATGTTCCCAGATCTCTGCACCCACGTTCCCAGATCCCTGCACCAACATTCCTGTCTCTGCACCCATGTCAACAGATCTCTGCACCCACATTTCCAGATCTCTACACCCATGTCCCCAGACCTCTACACCCACATTCCAGATCTCTACCCCCACATTCCCAGATCTCTGCAACCATGTCCCCAGACCTTTGCACCCATGTTCCCAGATCTCTGCACCCACGTTCCCAGATCTCTGCAACCATGTTCCCAGATCTCTGCACAGATGTTCCCATCTCTGCACATATGTTCCCATCTCTGAACCCACGTTTCAGATCTCTACACCCACATTCCCAGACCTCTGCACCCATGTTCCCAGATCTCTGCAACCACATTCCCATCTCTGCACCCACCCACGTTCCAGATCTCTACACCCACATTCCCAGATCTCTGCAACCATGTCCCCAGACCTTTGCACCCATGTTCCCATCTCTGCACCCACGTTCCAGATCTCTACACCCACATTCCCAGATCTCTGCAACCATGTCCCCAGACCTCTGCACCCATGTTCCCAGATCTCTACACCCACATTCCCAGATCTCTGCAACCACATTCCCATCTCTGCACCCACGTTCCAGATCTCTACACCCACATTCCCAGATCTCTGCAACCATGTCTCCAGACCTTTGCACCCATGTTCCCATCTCTGCACCCACGTTCCAGATCTCTACACTCACATTCCCACATCTCTGCAACCATGTCCCCAGACCTCTGCACCTATGTTCCCAGATCACTGCACCAGCCTTCTCATCTCTGCACCCACATTCCCAGATCTCTGCACCCATGTTCCCAGATCCTGCACAAATGTTCCCATCTCTACACATATGTTCCCATCACTGCATCCACATTCCCATCTCTGCACCCACGTTCCAGATCTCGACACCCACATTCCCAGATCTCTGCAACCATGTCCCCAGACCTCTGCACCTATGTTCCCAGATCACTGCACCAACCTTTTCATCTCTGCACCCACATTCCCAGATCTCTGCAACCATGTTCCCAGACCTCTGCACCCATGTTCCCAGATTTCTCTGCACACCCACAAATGTTCCCATCTCTGCACCCACTTTCCAGATCTCTGCACCACCCACATTCCCAGATCTCTCTGCACAAATGTTCCCATCTCTGCACCTACACGTTCCAGATCTCTACACCCACATTCCCAGATCTCTGCAACCATGTCCCCAGACCTCTGCACCCATGTTCCCAGATCACTGCACCAACCTTCTCATCTCTGCACCCACATTCCCAGAGCTCTGCATCTACATTCCCATCCCTGCACCAGCGTTCCAAAATCTCACACCCCAGCCCCTCCATTTGTTATGACTGCACAGTGACTCAGTAGCAAATAAAGCCAGGGACTGCCCTGCTGTTGCTTCACTTTAAGCAACAACTAAGCATTCATCCATTAATGCTATCCAGTAAGTACAGCAGTGTTGAAGGTAAGATATTCACCCCCGGTTTACATCTATGCGGCAGTGCAGGCCTCGTTTTGCACGGGCATGAGAGCCCATTCATTTGAATGGTCTCCCATTCCCGTAACACGCAGGGAAGAAGTCCCTGCACTTCTTTGGGAAACGCAGCCCGCACGGGAACCTCGGTTCCCACTACGGTTGCGTTTTCCAGTGCGGGTGGCGTGCCATTCGAACT